AAGCAGCAAGCTATACAATGAGGTATTAGCTGTAATAGTGGGCGCACTGCTGCCACAACTGTCTTGTCTTGTTTAGGTAGCATTTTGACTTAGAAGCATTGAATCATAATCCCCTAGACCTCATAAGGCAAATAATATTAGAGATTTCTTAATGGAAAGGAAAACAAACAATAAGACCAAAAATTGGAAGAAAAATGAGCGCCTAAGAGCTATGAGAATCCTCAATAATTTGAAACATGACGTAACAAACTTCAACAGGTTTTATTTTTCGCTTTATATGGTCCCTTAAATCGGAAATCTCTTGATCCGTGGCACTAGAGAACATTTGCATATCATTAGACAAATATTTCCTGGAACAAATTTGTATCAGTATAATCTCAAAATTCTTTTTGCAGAAAAACAATTTAATATTATTACTCCTGTGATTAACAAAAAACCTTAAACATCTTGACAAATTAAACTCCTCCAACTAACACATTCTGCATAATCACATAATAATAATGCAAGAATTCAGGTTAAACAATTTTAATTCAAAAATGAAAGGATTAAAAACTTTCCTGCCTCATTATAAAGCACTTACATTATTTCACTTCTAAGTAGGCCAAATTCCATTTCCGACAAATCCTCATTTTTTTTAAATTTTCCTCCACAAAAAAAGCAATCGCCATTATTCGATACAGTCGTGTTCCTGATATCCCAATATTTTGACTGACTGAAAAGTAAAGATGAATAAAAATGAGAGTTCCTTACGCAAAAATACTGGTTTATATCCTGGAACAAATAGTTTCAAATTCTGAAAATTGTTATACAAACAAAATACTATTGTACTGTATATATCGGTGACATTTATGTATCACGTAGAACACTGCAATACTTTAGTCTTGAAGGCGCAATTCATTACAACCAAAGAACTGCCCTGAAGAACCTTGTTTTTTATCAAAGATTTTAGTTATTTTAAATTGCATACATTACAGTATTACAGTAGAAGCTTCACCTCCTCTTTGTCTTTGGGTGGAAGATGTCTTCACTATATTAATACTCTTACTAGCCCATATGGTAACCTTTTTTTTAGGTAAATGCATTTCCATGCTTAAAAAATGTTCTAACACGTGGTTTACAGATACGGTTCTGAGATACAAAAACAACTTAAGCACCTGAATTTCTAGTCAAATATAACACCATTTAAAAATTACTGTGGAAATATAAAAGTTCTGCTGATTACTGCCTGGTAGCACTTACCGGATGATAGAATTGAAATGCCATATATTGTCATCTAATAAAGTAATACTGCGTCCTGACAGATAATCCAAATATGTAGATGAAACAGCTGAGTGAGAATTAGTATGCAAAGCAAGAACTCGCAGTAACTGGTCGTTTTTAAACAAATCATAGGCTGTCTCTTTTGCAAGCAGTGCTTGAAAGAGAGTTACTTTTCCGGAACGGACATAATTGGCTATAAAGATTGATAAATCAGTAACTGGAACATATAATAACTTTTAAAAAAATTTATAATGACTACAACCAAATTTATCATGGAACTATTGGAAATGAACTAATATTGCCAAAATCTATTGATAAAAGATATTACCTAACAGGGCAGTGATAACTACAGGACGTAACATCAGATTTGATGGCAATTTTGGCATAATATTCACGGGACAACATGATTTCAGGAGTAGTAAAACAGTCGGTTTCAAAAAATGTGGCACTTTATTCGCCAGGAGCAACAAGTTTCGCCATAGTTCCTCATCACCTCTTTCTCCGGCGCCTTCCATGTGGATGCAAACGAGCATTTCAACCATTTCAAGCACTGTGTATGCTGGTAGTGAAGATGAAGAGGAACATAAACTAGAAGGCATCAAAATTTATTTAGAGGCAAGCTGAAAACTTTATTGCAATCTATAGCAGCACCAACTTATAAATTATCTTGTTTTCAACCCAGGTTAAGTCATAAAATGAATTTGGGTAAAACTGAGATTTAAATATAATTAAAAGTTGCGAAGTTTTTCCTTATTTTGCACGAAATATAATGTTTGTAGAAAGCAAAGAAAATCTCACAGAAACGGAAAACTTACTGCTTCAAAAGTAAGCGACCTGTCTTTAGGTAACGAACATCTCTTAGAATCCGCAATGCATTTAGGTACTTCATGCTACCAAACAATTTCATCCGTTCACAGAACTGTTCGACGCTGACGTCGCACAATGCATCATTTATACAACCGCAATGAGCTAATTTTTCAGCATTTGTTCTCGGGAACTGCAGCGAAAATTAAAATATCCTTTATCTCGAATTAATCTTTTTCTTTTCTTTTTTTTTCTTTGCAGGAAAAAAATTGGAATCCAGTATTATTTCCATTAGAATTTGATAGAGACTATCGTCACAGTCTCAGCATGTACAGATTGCATTTATTCAACAGTATTCCTTGCCATCTATTTTTCAGTTTGTAAGGTTTGATTTTTTTTTTATGCAAACTTTAACTTATGTGTTTTCCCCACTGATGTGAATACAAAACTTTCTAATCGTTAGTATATACAAGAACTTAATACGCAGCATAGTTATCAAAATGTGAAATGAGGTTTTGAAAATTAAACTGTATAATTTTCCAACAAAAAGTAGTCAGTTCTTTAAAATATCGTACAGTACTTAAAGTTACAGAAACAATGATGAATTTTATCCAAAAATTTCCAAACTTATCATTAGAAAGTCCTGTCAAAAAAAATTGGACTGGGACAAAAATTCTATCAAAAAAGTAAACTGGGGATAAAAAAAAATAACTTTTGATGATGAATTCTGTTTTGAACAAACGTTCGTACCACTGGATGTAAGAGGATTCGCCAGCACACTGCATGTCGCATGAAATAAACGACCCGCACCAATATCTGCCTATAAAAATTGTCTGCCTATCAACGCTTCAAATTTGGTACCACCCTTATATTAAAGATATTTCAACTATTAATAACCACTAGAATTTAATTAATGCTTAAGAGAAATTTCAGAAAACTGTGATGAGAAACAAAAATTTACTTTAATATTACTGTACACTTAATACACTTTATTATTTCATAACGAAATTCTTTAAGAGCTCAGTTAAGATAAGCAAATATGGAAAACTGATGATTCAAATTCCATTTCAGGTATTACAAACCAACAGTTAATTTCTAAAATGTTTAATGTACCTACAACGAGTTTAGAAAAGCTCAACTCACCAATTTATGAAGATGAGGAAGAATTTTGCACTTTATCAGCATCATTAACTTCTGTGAGTAAAATCCCTTCGTCCACCAACTTCTGTTTATACTTTTCGTAGTTATACTTACGAATGAAATGTGGGACCTGAAGCAAACAGCGAAATAGGTTCAAATATTTCTAAAATTTGCAGCATGTTAAGATAAAGACAACTATTATCATCTCCTAAATTCCTCCCTAGTGCAGTGAAACAATATTTGCATTTGATATCTTTTTACATTGCAGCCAATGTAAAGCAGTTAAGTTATGTGACCCCTCTTTTTTAGCATATGACATCCAGAAATGTCCAAAAACCGCAACAAGTGCCCAGGTTTTGGCTAAGCAAAAAAAATGTCAAAATAAAATCTGAAATGAATTGAAGGTGAAAAAAACAAAAAACGAAAACAAGAAAAGAATAAGAATCAAAGGTCTCCGCAGTACAACTGCATTTAGCTTAATCATATGACCAAATTTGCATGCTTAGCATATAAAACCTAACCAATACACATGCATCTCTATCATATCCTCAGTCATGTCCATATAAAATAAGCATACCCATGACGCAGGACAGTCCTTCTCGAACTTCTGCTTCAGCTTTTTACACTTTGACTCACTATAAGTTTTATACTGCTCGCAGCATTTAAAATATTCGTCCCGTGATTGATAGCACTTCTCTCTGCCTGCTTTCAAGCCAGCTGTCACATCAGACATACAAAAGAAAATACTGAAAATCAATTGAGAATGACAGAAAAGTCTCGTTGTTAGAGTAATTAAATTTAAAAAAAAAAAAAAAAACAAAAAAAACGAAGTCTTTTCACTTGGCATCACTTTAAAGAACTCAGTGATTCCTTATCAACTCATAACTAATCGACGTCCATCACCACGAACCACTCCCTACAACACCCTACAGAAAAGCACACCAGGGAATAAGTACCACGGACGATTGCAAACCGACTCAACCACATCGCAAAACGGCTGCTGACCAACCGTAAACACCTATCTCTGTGAAAAATGAAATCCCATCGTCTCACAAGAACTCCTCCTGTCGGAAAAACCGAAGCAATTTATAATGCCGAAACAATTTAAGCTTTAAGGATAGGGATTTACAGATTAGGTATTGTCTCATTTGAATGTTCCCGAGACCAATAATCTTTACTTAAACGTGTTATGAATCATCATTAGAAACTTATCCAGCATCCACTACAAATAAACTGCATTGTTTGGGGTCAGTCTTTGTCGATAACGAGTTTCAATTCAACTCGTCGTCTCAATACTTCTATAATATCGAATACTCGACCCACGTCCCACTTATAACAGCAGTGAAGTTTTTGTTCAACAATTCATTTGTATCACACAAACTAACTGCAAGGACTTCATCTGACACCTTCTACTTCCAATGTAATGAAATTAGGAAAATATTATTATAAATCAATATCATCGTTAGTGAGTAAACACGAACAATTGGTTAACATTTAATTTTATTGAACAGTTTGTTAACGAACTGGATTGTTGCCAAAAAATACAAATGAATGAAATGGGGTAAATAAAAAAAGTTAAAGAGACTACTGGAACGGGAGAGAAAAATAATTTCGAAGCACATGAAACATGCCAAAATAATTCCTCAGATGTACTTGAGAAAGAAGACATGAGAAATGAAATAAATTACTCAGATAAAATACCGTTAACAATCCATGAAATCAATGGCATGTTCTTCCATATATAAATTGAGTATAAACAGAAAAGTGAACGAACATGAAAAAGATATAACAAATGGTCAGTATGAGGTGATATTAATTTCAAAAGGAGTATGTGGTTTCGCTTCTTCTGAATTGTCTTTACCTTCCATGCGCGTTCCCCCAGCTGCCGCTAATGCCACAATTTCTTCCTGAAAATTGTCAAAATTAAAAAAGAAGGGAAAAGCAATTATTTCAAACAACATTTCCTCTTATATGGATTTTATATGAATATGAATACTTAAAATCAAATCTAGGAGGAAATATATAATATTAGCTTGCATTCCGGTAATTCTCAAATATTTTCTAAGCCTATGTGATTTAAAACAAATACAAGAAAACGATCATATTATTTAACGCCATTCATAAAAGAACATCCGTGCAATAGTAGTGAATAAAAAGATGAAGTAGAGACTGTAAGAATACATAATAACGAATTGTTATCAGCTGTTATCAGCTACTGCCTGTTTTTCAAAACAGTGTAAGCATTACTTGGCCCAGCAAATTCACAACGGATTGATCTCCGAGCTCAAGATTTTAAACCATTTAACCGGACCCCGTATCTCACAGAACAGACAGCAATTGGGATAAGACATTTTATGAGGCAAAATGGCGTGTTACTTACAGTAAATGAACTAAATTATTGGAAGTGCTCCACTGGTCAACAGTTGGTTCCGATCATATTGTATATATAACAGTCCATAAAAAATAACGATAAAAAGTGCAATTCACTTTAACTATAAAATATTTAAATCAATTAGAACCTTCTCTTGTCCAGCTTTCTTGTCACGAAGCATAATTATTCCTCCCTGAGAAAGTGCTTTCAGCGGTTTATAACGACTGTTTTCAGTCATTTGTAAAGTTTTCAATTGCAGGCGAACAATACGAGCTGGATTTTGCAGAGCATAGTTGGTTGGTTCTGATTCTTTGCTGCAAATAACTGTAATGAAGCGTCCAATCATAAATGCTACCATTTTTTCAATAGAATTAGTGGTGACATAAAAACAGAAATTACAGATACCATCCACCAACAACCACTGGATGTTTCCTCACCTTGTTTACTATTTCGAGTTAATAAGATAACCAGTAAACAAAAAAAGAAGTGCTTAGGAAGAAAAAGAGAAATAAAAAATTAGGTAAATTTTGTAAAAACTCCTTTTGCCGAATAAATTCAAAAAAAAAAAAAATCATTCGAGCGATCCGTCTTTGATAAATTGAAATCATGACTATATGGCTATGATAAAATAATAAAGATTCCAAATTATTAAAAATTCTTTAGATGTTCATTAAATTTGTATATCGTAAATATACCTCTTCAGTTCAGTTAATTTGTGTTCCGAATTTGCAGCAATTGCGGTAGGTACAGCAGCAGCAGAATCAGCTGAAACCGTTGTAGCAGGTGTACTGTCAATCTCCATTTCCTCCTCCTTGTCTTTCTCAGATTTTTCTCCCCTAACTTTGGCTTCTTTGACTGCATTAGCGCTTGACCGATCAAGAACTGAGGGTTTCTTCTTGTGAGTTACAGAAAGAACTGCTGTTTCCACCTATGAAAAAATTGGTTTATTCTTAAAAACTAAATCTAATTCCAAGAGTTTGAAATCAAAACTGTTTTTTTTTTTTTTTTTTTTTTTTTTTGAACCGCCTACAGTACTTGCATGAAATTTTCACACTAACCCTCCTTAGAGAATAGAAACAAAAATCATAAGATAGTTTTTTCTGGTGATAACTCTTTGAAAACTCCTTGTCATCTCTACTGATTTATGACTTCAAAATATGTACAAATAAAATGTGTACTTTTATTCCAAAACTAAAATATTATATTATTAAAACACCTTTTCATTTTCTTCTTTTTTCTTCTCCTCCAAAGGAGGTGGATAAGCAAAGGTTGAAGGCTTCGCATTGCAACGAAATTCTGTTTTTGGCATCTGAATGAGGTAAATGAAGAACAGTAATGAACCTGACTAGGACGAGTATACTCCGAAACTTTTGGAATCTAATAATTCCTCAAAAAAAAGTAAAAAAAAAAAAATTAAATTTACTTCATTTCTTAAAATTCTATGTATTGCCAGAGTGCTACTGCACAAAAATTAATTTTGATTTCATTCAATTTGAATACTCATTGGATGATATTCCATGACTTTTAACTCAACAGAGTCCTAAATTAAAAACTAGTGAAACCGAACTAACTTCGAGATTCAAATTAAGACCGATCACACAGGTTGGTTTGAATACTAATGACGAAAAATGTGCTAAGGAATGCCAATACCAGTACTGAAGGAAAACGAATGTCCCAACAACACTTGGCATATCAGGATGACCGTTACGATTATGAAGTGATATCGTGACGTTACGACCACCAGCATCGATAATACCTTGAGCAAGGATTGCACCCAGTTTTGTGATTGAGTCTTCACCTTTCTCCGTTATCATCTAAATTAAAGTTGATGAAAAAATTATTTTAAAAAAGTAATAATTACCATTTCATACCATGCACCTCTACTTGCAACATTTATAAACATCGTATAAGAAATGCAGAGAAGTTCTACCAAGCTTTATTGCAGAACTGATAATTAGTCTTTTGAAACAAGATCATTACCTTCGTCAGTGTTCTTCGAAATTCATTTACTTTCGGACAAATTGAGTCCGTCTGCTGGATCAGGATAAACGATAAAGCAATGACAGCACCTTGTCGTACAAAGTTTTCTTTGGCGCTCAGCAGTGGATCAAGCAGCGCGATAGCTTCCTAAAATTGTAGCAAAAAAATCAAGCTAAAAACTAGAACACGTTTGAAACATTTTCGTAACATCATATCAGTTATGTGCAAGAAGAAATAAATCATTTTTAACTAAATTTACTAATTGCTAAAGAAAATAGCGCACTGATTAGAATAAAAATAACGCTTAGAAAAGATTTATTTGAAATGGATAGCCTTTTGAGATAGTTCCATTTTAAATTAAAAATCATTTATAAAAAAACAAGAAAATTTTTGTTTTGTGCCAATATCATGAGATTATCTTTCTTCGTCATAGATTATGCATTTGACTTTGTTTAGATTTTTGAAAACAAAATGTTTGATTCGGACAATTAGTTATCGTAGCATTTCTGCTTTAACTTTTGTTCTTATTTTTTCACCTTCATGTTTATTCGCGTCGTGTTAATCAATTTTGAGGACGATGAAAGAGGAAAATATTTCCTATGGCTGAAGAATATGGACATTTGAAAACTACCATCAAATGATCTGATCGACAACATGAGAAATTTATCTTTCTTAAGAGTAACTTCCATATTTTCCATATAACTTCCATACTTTCTTAAGAGTAACTTCCAATTTCGCTATACTTTTTTTTGATGCAACGACTTGGAAAAGATGAAATAAAAAAGGCCGACTGAGAACATTTCAACTTTTCAAAAATTAAGGAATTAAAGTTTCTATTCCTTAAGCTCCACCAAGTCGATCAATCTTCATTTTCTCTCAATTTTATTTTGCTATTTCTGCAGAAATTTTAGTGAGTTTGCCTTTAATGAAAAATTCAAATAAATAAGATTATTGTCTACGAATATTTAACTAGACTAGAGTACAAATGGTTTTGTATCTTACTAAATCACACAAAAAAAACAATTTCACTTTCGATGTCATTTTCCCATCATGGTTAAAACATTCTCTGAAACTGTAAAGTTACCACTAGCTGCCTTTTACTGCTATCATAAATAAATATTATTCGACTGATGAACATAAATAATGAAAAACATACTTTATAACCAGATCCTGCACAAGAGATGCCTAATGCCATAGCAGCGCCATATCGTACATGCGGGTTGAAATGTTCAGCTAACATACCAGTATAGCTAAGACACTGTTCTGCATCACTTAAATTGCATAATTCGTTTGTCGTAATTATTTAGGAAAAAAAAAGAACGAACAGAGTTAAAAAGAGAATTAAAAAGAACTGGAAAAGAAGCAAAATTTCATCCAAATATTTATGCACATTTGTTTTACTATCAGTTTCTTAAATCATACTTTTTTATTTGTTTATTTCATATACTTGATAAACCATAATGCTTAAACTTATAAGACTTTGTATAAGAATAGTTTTTGTTCAGACAACAACAAAATTTAAAACAACGCATCAAAATCATTCCCTACCGCTCTTTTTCCCATTCACCCGTCCACCGGTAGTTCCGATTTCGAATTAATAATTTGATTTCAAATTATTTTTTCCCCTCTTTCCTTTTACCAGTTAAATAACCCTTAACTTCATCTACAGTTGTTGCTTCTGTAGTAATTGTCAAAATCATTAAAAAATACAATAAGCTTGGTTTTGTTTGACCTCGACAAATTGCAAATGCTTCTCATAAACTTCTCACACCTGTAATCCAGTAATCCTTATTTCATTAATTATGGTTCTAAGTGAAGTCAGTTATTCAGCTAATCATATTCGTCTTACATAAATAAATGCAATACTGTTTTGAAGACTTTGTTTTCAAAAATCGATTATTTCTACCTAGAAGATAATCACTGATTTTATTCTCATGGAACCAGTCAACACAGATTAAGATAATGTCTGGTTTATATAGATGTCACAGAAATTAAAACTTTTTAAGCCTGTAAATACGTTAAGAAAAGAAACATATAACAATCATCTTGAGTGATAAATATGATAAGTAATACAGGCATAAACTTTTCTTGTTGACATTTCAAATTAGAAGAGTTCATTTAGGAGAGCAGCTCAACGAAACCCAAAGAAAAATTATTTATCAAGAAACAAGTTCAAAAACTGAGCAATCATTTTGAAGCAGAAAATTAGTCCAACAAAGCGCCAATAATATAATATTCTTACTGGAAAATATGGAAATACTGGAACTTGGCGTTATGGAATTTAAGCTATATAGTATAAAACTATTCTAATTCATGATAATGTTGCTGTCACTGTATCTAATGCCATTGAAAGCGTAACGCACAATTCTTAAGATTTGGGAGGAATCAATTGGAATTCTGAAATAAGTTATCATCATAGACAGAATAGTTTTATGTCTGCTTCCAGTTTCCAAAAAAGTTAGATACTTGTGAAAATCTACTACTGTACTCCTCTTTTAAATTTACTTCTTTATTTGATCATTGACGACACTCGATTTTATTTAGTCATATGATGATATTTAAATGTCTTTATAAATTAAGCATTGCGAAGAGTGAGAGCTGAAGCAGATGGAATCTTAAGCATTAAGAAGATGACATGTTAGTTCATAGTGGATCCGGAACAAGCTTTGTAGTGAGTGTTTAATGAAATCGCGGTAGTTAGCATCATTGAACAGAGAGAATAAAAGGGAAAGGAGGCCAAGTTTACAATGCATAAGCTGGGCTCTATCTTTATCACTGCTTCCATCATTGCTAAGCTGTTTCAGATTTCATAAACATTTTACGCAGCAAATATACGGAAACTGCAGAAAATATTATGTTTCCGCGGCTGCTGTTTAAATAACTTATCTCACTATCATTTCTAACCACTACCGTGAATTTTAACAACATTATCATCAAGTAGCTGTAAATCGCGAAAAATTGGAATTATATGCGATAGTACCCTCGCACTTATTAGATGTCCGTTACTTGGGATCAAGAAGGAGAACAAAAACTTCGCGTTTCTTCACTAACACGTGAGACGCTGAGTATCCTTATTATTGTACTCCTATCATTACTGTGTGCTGTTGGTTTACTGGGCAATTTACTTGTGTGCATAGCAATTAAGTTGAACCGGAAGCTGCATAATATTACCAATTATTTTCTTTTCTCACTAACATTAACTGATTTGCTGGTATGTGGCGTGGTAATGCCACTTAGCCTCATTGTGGAATTACATCAAGGTGAGAACACAACATTTTAAAAGAACTAAAAAAAAAACTGAGAAAATAAGGTTGTAAAAGGAATTTTCGACGAATTTAATGAATAAGTCTGCAAAAGTAATTTGTTGTTCGTTTTCCCAAAATAAAATGTTTACACTAGTAAAGAGATTAAATATATGTACAAAGCAAATTTTTAATAGAGAAATGGAGAAACTACAAAATTTTGCAGAAATAAATTTCATAAGACCATAAGATCATTTTTTAGTGGCCTCAAAAATTTTTCGAAAATAAAAAGGGCGGAAGTGAAGAAGCGTATTTACTTCACTTCTCTTTTTCTGAGCACTATGTTTGCTGTATATTATAATAAGGGTTATTATGCGAAGAGGAAGAATCATAGGAAGAAAAAAGAAATCAAAAGAAGCTGACTGATGACTAAATAGCGAAATCAATTTATTCAAAAAATAAATGGAGAAAACATTTGGAAAATAAAATCAAAAATAAACCAAAAAATGAGTTAGTGAAAGATGAACTGGAACTTGGGACAGTTGAAAAAGCAATTTTGATGTGAAAATTGTGAATGTTCCATTAAAAAGAAATCCTTTTTTTATGCTTTTCTATTTCCCACTGTTATTTGAGAAATTTTCCCTCTGAATGTCGGAAGAGTAAGTGATTTATAGGAATGTGGACATGGAATTTTTTGATGTGCTTACTTTACATATATGCCGACGTGTTTTTGTGCACCGCCAGTATTGTACATATGTCTATTATCTCAATAGATCGATATCTCGGTATTTCTTTATATTATCATAAGTATGCCGCACTGAGCATTCCATGGAACCATAATTCTAGTTAGAAAAACCTCACTGATGATAACTGAAGATTTTAGGAGCAAAAATTATGCAAATTATAATTTTAGGAATTTCGAAACCTTTGAAAGCCCGGAATAAATCAAAAACACTGATGAAGGTGAAGTTAGCTTCTGTCTGGATAGCAACGATATTAATCTCTTGCCCCATTGTTATCATGGCTCTTACTGATTCAAGAAATGTATTTAATGGTAATACTTGTCGCATTACTAATCGTTACTACATGATTTATGGATCAATACTCGCATTCTTAATACCATTTCTTATTATGGTAGTTACTTATATCCGCACTACAAATCTTCTCAAACGACAATCAAGTCTTATTAGTCATCAAAGGACTGCTACCAACAGTCACACTGAAGTACCAACTATCTTACGACATAACTTCACGCAGAGCAACTACATCCCTAAAAAGTAAGTTACCCTTTTCGTGGAAAGACCACATCATATATCTCATCACCTCCTAGGCCCTAACCGTATTATAAGATAAAGCGTGAGTTTTCGCTAATCAGACTTTTCGATTCGTTCGCTCCGAGCACTAAAAACCTCTCTTCATTTAACCACAACTACTGCGGGACCGACAACGTTTGTTCAAATAGAAAATAAGTGTTATTTTTTTTTAGGAAAACTAATAAATCTCTTAAAATATTGGAGCAGATTTATGTTTTTAAATCGTTTTGTTTTTCCACAATGTTCTTATGATTTCACTTTAATTTCTAAGGAGGGAATTTTCTTTATCAGTTCTTAAATTTTTTAAACAATCATCATTAAATATTATAGATAACATGGAGATTTTTTTTTTCACTCTGATTCAAAATTAAATTAAAACGACGGATAGCTTGCGATAGGGAAAAGGTGTAAAGAAGAAGAATAAAAACTAAAAGAAATTAAAGTTTATAGATGTAACATTCGATTTCTTGCCTGTGAAATTAAAATTTTGGAGAAAAGTGTAAAACCCTCAATTCCACATGTCAGACACAGTGTCACTGAATAGCAGTGCATAAGAGCAGAAATTTAGTGTTGATGAAGTCCGTCTAGAAAATTCGCTAGAAAAAATTTTAATGCAAAATTTATTCTCTCTGATTTTGTGTTTCAGATGATATAATAGGTTTGTTAATGTCCGCAATAAAAAAAAAAAACAAATCGTCCAATTTATTTAACGATTTTTGCAGGGTTCAAAATGTTATTCCATTTAGAAGAAATATAGACATGACAAAAGGCCCGCTGAAGACTACTTTGTTACCGATATACTGTGAGAGAAGAATGGAAATGGTTAGTAAAACGTTAGAATGAGATGTAATATCTTCTTTTTGAAATTAATAAGAGAAATGATTTGGATAGGAAAATATCTATGAATATTAATCACGACGAAATGACCTCGAAAATGACTTCACTTTTTTTTTCAAATTGTGCCATTCTTACCTGTCATGCTTTACTAAACTACACGATTACATATCAATTTATGTCACTCATTTCTTGTTGATTATTATAACTGATAATCTCTCATTTACTACACTTCAATTCGTATTTAAAGTTAGAAAAAAATCGGCCACGTAATCTTCGACAACGTACAAAAATAGCAGTTTTTGCCATAGGCGATAAAATAACCAAGAAAGAAGCAATTCCAAAGCGCAGCACAGAACTCACCAATGAACACAAGGTTGGAAAATTTCATAAATCGAATTACAATTCTGTTTGCTTAAGATTTCAAAGACTTTCTCATTTGGTATCAACAAAAAGTTAAATGCTTATAATCTTATGCCACTGTAAATGAACACATTGATCAAAATTTCTAAATTACGACTTCTAGGACTTCTAGTAATTTCGTTTCAGGCAACACGTGTGCTAGCCATTGTATTTGCATGTTTTTTTATTTGTTGGACACCATTTTTTGGTGGCAATCTTGTGCTTGGCTTTTGCGGCAAACGATGTGCCTTACCGCCAACGATAGCGTCTTTTTTTCTGTGGTTAGGGTATTTTTCGAGCACCATCAATCCTCTTATTTATACTATTTTTAATAGGTTCGTTAACTATCAAGAATTATGTATAAATAATCGTAACTATTGCAACACTAATAACTATAATATGTTAAGTTAGCCACAGCTGTACAGAAGAAAAACAGGAGTATTTAGTGATATAAACAGGAATTTTTTACTCTGTCTAAATAGGGTATATATTTTACAGAAAACTAATACAAAAATGGCTACAGAGTTCATGAATTTCTATTTCGGAAAAAACTATATTTGACTACATCGAGGATAATGGGCAAATTTTCCATCCTCGCTGCATCTGATATTTAATTTTTAGACAATTTCGACGAACAATCCTCGAAATTCTTCGCTGTCATTGTGCTTACTCGGTGCAGAATACCTATACTAGCAATTATTATTGGAGACAATTGCACAATAACAACTGGTAAGTGTGATGGTCACTTATGGTAAGTATATAAGCGAACCAACAATCTCAATAGCTGATCCCTTAAATTTATTCGAAAAAAAAAAATGAATTTGTAAGTTCAGAAATCATTATGAAACCTGTAATTGTAATGTCATTCATTCCACTTGTATCTGAATCATCATTCCAAATCATTTATTCAGATTTTGGTAACTCAAGCTAACTTCTTTGTTTCGAATAAATTTTTTGGGTTAAAATTTCAAAGTACATTTTTTGGGAATAATTAGCTGAATGTGTAATTTGCTTCCAAAACTTTATATGCAGAAGTTTAAAAAGTACAGTTTTATTGAGTAAAAAGGCGAGAAAATTTCAATTTCTATCCACGACACAATCAAAATTCTTTTAAGGCTTATATTATTGCGTTTAGTAATAAGGGTACATATTACCTCTACCTCCATTATTGTTTCCAACTTCTCACATTTAGGCCCAACAGATTCACGAGGGAAACACAACAGTGTATTTCAATGCTAATTATCTCAGGGTGAAACACTACAAGTCATGATTTTCCAGTTCGTTCTTTTTTACACTGTCTTCCTTATAAATAGTACATTTTCATAACAATTTCTGAAGACAAGGGATTTTTTTTTTACAAAATCAAGTAACGTTGCCCATTTTATTTAAATTACCAAAACCAAGTCTCATTTTTTTTTTTCTTTAAATTCTTTCTCTGCTCCTGCATCTTATAATTGATAATAAATGAGCTTCATTTTTACAGAAAAATAAAACTTTACGACAACGTTTTTTACGAATTGGAAGGTTGCAGAAAATATTAAATACACTTACTGCTCGTTTGAAAAAATAGTTTAAGATTTCGAGAGATTTAATAAACTACAGATATCTTATCACTGGTAAATTTAGAAGCAAGGTCGTATGACAAAGATTTTTTTTTTTTACTTTTAAGTTATTGTAAGAGAAAAATTATATTCTATCTTTTGCATCTAGAAATTATAGTTTCCATAAGTTGCAGGGTTACCACTGATCGACCTGATTTGGAACAAGAACGCTCCAACCCTCTACGCTGTAAAGGATGTTTAGATGAGTCGAAACCTTCAAGACAAGAACAAAGTGTCCGGTCAATACAGCCAGATGGTTTACCATTGGTAACAAACAGAGGAATCGGCTTACTTCAAAAGAATGTACAACCTGCAGTAAGTCATCAGCTACAAAACAAGCTCAAAGCGAAGCATCTCTCATGGAAAAGTTAGTAAGTTCAGAAGTTTAAATACTTGCTTGAAGCTATTTAAGATAAAAACTACCAAGACAAAACAGGAATTACAAAAAGGTTAAGTTTTCCAAACTGTAACAAGGTTTACGAGAAAAATTTTAAGAATGGTTAACAATGATTTCTTTTCGATTGCAAGAAATGCAAAACAAACATTTTTAAGAGAATATAAAACTCTTCAGTAAATCTTCGGAATTTAAAAGCTAAGAATTTTTCCAACTGTCCAATGAGTGGGATAATTGCCATTGCTTGGCTGCAGATGAAATAGAATTTCTAAAGCAATCCTACTTATATTCTTGAAACCTTTAACGGGAAATTTTTCAAATGAGAAGTACCCGTGTTACTGCAAATAAACTGCAACTATTACAACCAAAGCACTCTTCGTTGCTCACAATTCTTATAATAATCGAAAATAACAAAGAATTTTGGATTTTCTTTCTCCACATTAGGAATTTTTAATGGTTTTATTGCTCAGTTATAATTTGACACTGGTAGCATAACTTCTAATTTCATTATTACAAAATTATGCTGATATGTATTTTAGAACCCAGATGGACGACAACAACCCATTTTCCTGAGCATGTTATTGAGGAAATTATTTTCAACATTTGATATTGCAATGCTTTGTTACAGCAAACAGCTAAGCCTATGAAATTGTATCATGCAAAAATTCACTCTATATATTCAAGTTATCTGTTTTATTTCGTTAAACGCTGAGTTCTATACGACACTTTTCTTATCGTTGTATTGTGTTTATCTTATTTATTTATTTTTTTCTTTATTTTGAAGTATTCGTTGCAATGAAGTGCTAATTCTGTTGTGTCGTTCCCATAAATAATAATAAACAAAACAAAACTGAGGTTGATAAATCCAAGATTTGATCACGGCCATCTATTCATTCAAATCGTAAAAGATATTCAAAAAAAGTTATGAAGTGATGAGTTTCTCAGGAAGAATGAGTATAAAATTAAATTAAAGAAATGTTATTTAATCTCTCCTCTGCCCCTTTCCTTCTTTTGTTCCTAGAGTTCTTATTTTAAGAAACAAATAAAAAAAACAAGAAAAAACTCTCAAATTATATTAAGAGATAAGCAGAATAGAATTAAAAAAAAAGAATGAACCTTTATTCATTAATTCCCTAAAGACAAATACAAAAGCGAAGTTGATGTTGAATACGAACAAATGCCTCCAACATCATATGAGAAAACTTTTAAAATTAAAATAAGATAACTCTTATTTTAAACAAATTTGAGTTAGTTACATAAAGTCTTAATAAAATAAATTAGTATGAGTTTAAAAAATATGTGAAGAACGAGTAATTCGAGATTTTTTTAAACTAATTGTAATCAAAAGGGTACACAAGGAATTAATGAGTTTTACATAATTTGATTGGGTCACAAGATTACTATTCTTTTCTGTCTCCATTTTCCTGCCCTATAATATTTTTGATACCACTTATTTTACAGTTATTTTACTGAAAATAAACTAACTTGCTAAGAACGAAACCAATGGCGATAACAGCGAAACGTTTCACATCTTGATTTGGATCAGCTGCAACTTTAGCCAATAGACGTCGAACCACATCTGCTTTACCTGATCCCGCATACGCCATTGCAAGCATACAAACTGCAGTTGAACGCAATACCGAATTTGATTTGTGCTCTAACAAGGGGGCTATCAGTTTTTCTGCTTCTTCTTGTTGCCCTGAAAATAAAACACTGCGCAACAAGGCCTAATAATTATTCTCCATTAAACAGCAATTGAAATTTTTGGCAAAATAGAAGTAGAAAGTATAATGAAATAACATTAAGTGCAATGTAACGGCAATGAATAGATTAATAACGAAAAATATATATTTTCAGACAAGTTAATGCAAAGACAAGAGAGAGTGTAGAACTAACCATAAGCAAGTAAGGCGATGCCTGTACGCAAACCACGCTGAATTTTATCGTGCTGTGTGTCACACACATATTGTACCATTTCCTGATACGCTTCCGTTTGCATTCCCCCAACCATTACAAGACCCATTGCTAGTCCAGCGGCTTCACCTGTCACGGCATCATCTTGATATAAACAATCACGCAATTGTACAAACACCTGAAAATTGTTAGCAGTTAAAGTTCAGAATGTTTAAGGGAGTTAAAATTTTTAAAAGGAAAAAAATAAATTTTTCGTATAGATTTGCAAACATCGAATAAAAAGAACCAGAATTTTATAAGAGCAAAAACATTGTAGAGAAAGCATATGTAACAGTAAATAAAACAGCAAATAAGTAGACTAGCTTGTTCATCATGTGTTCCCATTGCAGCCAAACCAAGGCCAAGACATGCTCCATGACGTGCTGCTGACGTTGTCGCCTTCAATAATTGATCCCGAAGATAGGCGATCACTTCAGCATTACCGTGATTTGCATGAATCAGTCCTAAGGTCAATATTTATATTTTGATCTTTATCGGAAGAAAACTATTGCTGCATATAGAGGCCAACTTTTTTTCAAAACATAAAGAAAAACAGTTCTACTTTTTAAGCAGCATTTCTCAGCAGTTTGAAATGAAAATTTATTGCTAAAAAAAAAAAAAAAAAACATACCATAAGCATACAACGAACCACCCTCCTTAAATCCAAACTGATCAGCTTCACCCTTCGGCAAATACGGATCTAACAACTTCAATGCATTCGTTTCATGACCCTCAAAAATAATAGTACAATATAATATAAAGTAAAAAAAAAAAAAAAAAAAACTAATAAATGTCTTCAAATATTAAAATGACTTTATGAATAAGTCCAAGTGATGCCACAGCATTGAATTTATTCCAGTTCGTTGCTTTGCTTATCCACTCCAAATTATCTCTATAAATATGGTACACTTATAAAGTGAAGAAACGTCAGTTACAACTTCGTTTATATAAATATTAGTTTCAACGTTTTAACAGAGGATGAAGTGGCATGATTTTGGAATATATGCAAATCATTAGATTAGATATAGATAAACAGTAGATAGACAGAGAGATGGATAGATAATCTTTCACAGCAACAGCATGATCAAGCTAATGATGGTTATATTATATAACATATAATGTAGGAACTTTATAGGAGCTTTGAAGTTAAAAAGGTTATATAATAAAGCTTACCTCAAAAAATCATCAGTTGTTGTTCCTAAATGCATCAAGCCATTTGCAATGACAGTAGCATTATGTGCTGATGCTGTTCGTACGCTTTCCTTTATTTGTTTTAAAATTAGCATATCGGTGTGATTATTTTTTATAAGAAACTGCATATGATGCTTGATAGTTTGCTCGCCACGCAAAATTGATCGCAAACGTTCACAGATTACCTTATCCTGAAATAAATCCAAATAAATTAAAGGAAATTTTGAGACGATAAGAAATTTTAAACATAACCGAAAAATGAGTCATTCTTTGCGAAGAAAAATCAAAAGAACAGCTGCCGTGTAAACAAAGAAAGAAAAATGGTACGAATGCCAAAATTCATTCCCTAAAATTCGCTTCAAATTAATTTCCGCCCCAAAAATGAAATGTATATATTATTTGCTTTTTCGAAGTGTCTTGTCTAAATCTGCTGTATTTGCAAAGTTGGTACCTTTATTTTCGATTTTTCTAGAAATGATGCATCCATTACCATCATTTTTGCCCCATCACCTATTGTGCTGAAAGAACCACCAGCAACGGCATCTTCACAAGACTTGATTTCAGGATTGCTCCTTTTCTGCTTCCTAGAATTTTCTATTGCTGAGATAAATTTAACCTCTACCCTTACTGCAACTAGTCCCCACTAGCTAACCGATCAGCTGGTGCCTGCCCCAACACTAGCTCAAAATTATCTCTCCAAAAATTGAAATCTTATTTCCCAAAGACTCTTAAATTTGAAATAAGAAAAAATTTACTCTTTCTCCTCCAATGATTCAGATGAGGACGTATCCTTCGAATGTTCATCGCTCTTTCCTTCTTCCGTTTCTTTATTAACAGTAGTAGCTTTCGAAGCAATTACGGCAGTGTTTCTACTAGGCTCTCTGTTCGTTAAAAAAAAAAATCATTGGAAAAAAATCTGAATGGGAAACTAAACTTCAACACGGATTTATAACGAAAACTACATCCCGTAAGAAAATATTCTAACAAACTAACATTTTTCCTTCAGTAGTAATTTCCATAGGCTGTATCAACGCATCACTCGTTGTTGGTGCATCTATCGGAGTGCTGTCTATGAGAGATTGTTCTATTTTACTGATAAATTGCTGCGAAGCATTCTCATACAAATCAAAAGCAATCTGATATGCTAATAATACACCACTGTCACCCTGAAGTGAGATTTTATAAAATAACATAAAATGTGAGTTAAAACAAAATTGATGTCGTCACTAACGAATCGGTCTACTGGTTATAACTCAGCAACCATAAGTTTACAATCCATAAGGCAGATACAACAAAACTAATAATATGTTTTACTTTCAGATATTTATGTTAAAACTCAATTATTGAACTTTTCAATAAAGAAACACATGATTAAATGGATTAATTGCAGCTGAGAAAATATTGAAATCCTCGTTTAATTCACAAAACATAATCTTTTATGTCAGAGGACCAATCGAACAACAACTGACTGCAAAGAATTCATCAAATAAACTTATTTCCATGAAAAGCTGATACCTTATTGGAAACCAATCGCTGCAGAATATCCGCAACATCATTTGGTTTTTCAAGTTTGATCAAACATTGGCACATGGAAACAAAGTCGGGCTCTTCCAGTTCAGCAAATAAACGAAGTAGCAAATCCAAAACTATACTTCGAAAAGCACGATCCATTTGTGACTCCAACACTTTCGCTACAGTTTCGGTTAACAAAGTTGCCTGATCATCAGTAGCCTGCAATTTTATTATTAATGACAGACTAGAATTACTTGATTCTTAAAGATATACCGATAACAAAAACATTAATATGTAGGGTAGCTAGCAACATTTAATGCTACAATGAAGCCATAGTGACACCCAGTTTATAGCTACATCTGAATAGATAATAACTCTAATATTCAAAATTCAAAAGCATATGTTAGCTCTACAATCATATTTTAATATAAAATTGTGTAAAAAGTGTATACTTTTGTTCTTTCATTTGACGGAAAATTAGATCTAAGTTCAGAAAATTATGGAAGGGATCTAAAAATCAACTGCTTTCAACATTGTTTGACCTTTATAGCGACTAAAATCATATCCGTTCTACGCGTATCCAATGCAAGTCCAATCACATATTTCAGTTCTCGTCTTTTCATGTTTCTCTCGAAAAGTCGATTAATGAGTTTTTCCAGCCGAGGATCTATTTCATCTTCATTACGCTTAGCTTGTTTATATGTATCCAGCGCATGCTCGATTATTTTGTTCACATACTGAAATAAAAAAATGCTCGTCACTAAAAGTACTTCTTACATGCTCAAATTTCCATAAAAATGTATTCACCGCCATGCCTCGTCAACAGGCTACATGTTCAAACTCAATATCAGTAAAATATTACTGAATTTATTCTTAGCCAAACAATACCCAAATCCCTTTCATAAATATTGCATAGAAAAGTGCATCCATAAAGTCTATTTTCTCATTCAAAAAAAGAAAAGAAGCGAAGAGGAACGAAAAACAATGAATTTCATACCTGCTCATCTTGCGAGCCAACAAGAATCGAAGGTGACCGTGGCGTGAGTTGGAATTTATCTTCAGCCGCTAAAGCAAGTTGCAACGCACCATTATAGTCGCCCAAACAAAAAGCAACCTGAAATCAGTCGTGGGTATTCGAAAAAGAAAAGAGAACGTTAAGGTAATGGAAAAAAAAAAAGTGAAAGGTGACCTTGGAAGCTAGAAGAGCAGCAAGATAACGCTGTTTAAAATGCTCATCTTCATGAAGTCCTTCGATGACGCTTAGATAGTCGGCTACTTCAAACCAAGTTGGTGTCAGAACATCCCAGTCATCCAATACCTCAATGATCAGTTCCTTTTCGCGCATCGACGAATGCTCACTTTTCAAAGCAAGCAAAAATGCACCTGAATTAAAAAAAAAAACTTTCCTTAAAACTTATTTTAATTTTAATTTTAAGGCAATTTTTTAGGGTATTTTAAGGTAATCGATCAACTGTTTATTCCTTATTTATGATTTCAGTATACTTTTGCCGTAAACATATAATTCATTCCTATTGATTAAAATAGTATACAGAAACTTCCTTCATGTTTTGCAAACCTGATACTTAACACAATAACTATTTGTCAACATGTTAAATGTGAATTTGCTTTGGTTAACATCCATATATTCTGTGTACATCTTGCTTATTATGCTATTTTGATGAATATAAGGTTTGAACCAGTTAGAACAAGACCACACACCAATGCCTTAAACTTTCTACTTCTTGAATACATGAAATCAATATAAAATCCGCAAGGCCAAGAATGTAAATATGAACTACAACGCACTTGCATTTTGAGCTCCACCGGGTTGATTCTTCCATTGGTTCAGAAGATAAAGCGTCATCTCGAATAACTGTCCTACAACACAAATCAGTAGTGAATTTTTCAAGCAACATAGCAAATAATACTAACGATGCAACACTATCTCCACACCCAACATTCTTATCTACAGTTGACCACCATATTTATAATATGCATATTTTTTCATTTTGTTAGCTGGTTTTGTTTTATTGCAGCACAAACATTTCAACGAATATGTGGACCCAAAATAACAATTCAGCACTCTTTGTCAGTAATGCATATTGTAGCCTTCATCCATTGACATCAGTATCTTCAGTCTCCTATTTAAAGCTACTTAGTAGATTCGCTTAACATTAATCCTTAACATGATTTATCAAGGAGAATGAAACCACCTGAAACTGATTCAAATCACATAAATTCAACCAACAAAATTATTTCTCTAAGATAATTACAGTTTGAAAATAAACATACTGTTATGCTACAGCAGCGAACATGTAATAAAAAAATCCTTCCCATTTTTATTACAACAATGAAAGCGTAAAACAATGGAGGTACAGACGTTATAAAAATAGCTTCATTAAGCAAATAGTATTCCACACTACTGATAGAAGTTTTCTGATCGAACTACATTTAAGAAAACGATGACTAAAAGCTTCTGTCATATGTAAGATAATTACAAAGTAAAATTTTTTCGTAGACAAGGCAGAGTGAATTTTTTAGACTTCTAAAATGGTCGTGAAGTCCAATCCAGGAAGACAAAAGGCTGCCATCAAAATTCCGACTAAAAGTAAAAAATTTTAATCAATCATATATGATCAAATATAGAAAATATTGATATAATAGATGTTTTAGATATCTCATTTACAATACTTGGTTAATGTCATATAAATAAAACCCTTTACTAGCAGTATGAGAATTTAGATAAGTAGAAGTTATAACACTTGAGAAGTTTTCTTAGTGAAACTCAAAAGAAATACAGTTTTTTGAAAGATATAAAATGGTCAGTTCGCAAAAGTTAGATTTAATACTGGTGCAAGACTAATAATTGCAAAAAAGAACAAAGAAACAGAAAAAACCATGTGTAAGACATAATATTAAACCAAACCAATTCATGAATCAGTAGCTAACTGTTTAGCCTTTAATACAGCAGGAGCTGAGCTCGGAGGCAATATGCGTAATTCCGTAACCAATGCAGTTATCAAGTCAGCAGCTACAACTTCCTTTCTTTCACCCATCAAATTATTTACTTCATGAATACCATGGGAAAATGATTGCACCTGTAAATAGGTACAACGGTTGTTAATAAGAGAGAACAATATACCTGTATAAATCTCCAAAACTGGAAAAATCTCACGCTCTAATGAATGAAACTTTAGATGACACAAAAACAGAAACTGGCCAATAGAAATGAAACTCGCCCGATCAACAAATTTGCATGTTTGTGCAGCAATCAGAACTGGAATATTCGAAGCGGAAGCTACTAATGCTATTTGACTAGTACCACGTTCTGCCACTACGAATCCGTTTGATAAAATCGCCGAACAACCCAACAAAACCATATGACACTGTAACGATAAATAAGGACGTAAGATTGATTCTAAATTTTAAAAGCACCTAAATAAATTATGAAATTATTGATGGACTGATGTCTGTTTCCTAATGGAACATTCAGTTACAATATTTCCGACAAATTACTAAGCTTTTAATATTTCTATTGCATTTTCCTCATTTTTAAGAGACCTCATTTTTTTAAGAAGCCTATTTAAGTCTAAACATTTATTGAGAAACAGCTAACCTCTTTCATCAGATAACCAACTGAAGAAAGCATACCATAACTGCACGGAATCTTCCGTTCACATAATGTCTTCACTAGTTGTCTTCCTATAAAATAATAATAAATCACTGCACAAAAGACCTTTTTTAAAGAAAAAATGTAACTAACAGAAAAATGATTCGAATTAAAAAGTATATGAAACGAACCTTTATACTCTATAGGCGAATCCAAAACGTGCACATGAAAAAGCAGTTTGTCATTGTGGGCATCCAAAATGATCCGTTCTACAACCGGACACCTGAAACATCACATCTAAATACCGTTTCAACGTAGAAGATATTTAAAAAGTAATTGTCACAAAAAAAAAAACATTCCCTAACAACATAATTCAATACAAAACGCGTGTGACTCCAAAACATGCTTGATATTGCATCTATTGCCCACAAATATAGAATGAAGACGGTGTTTCGACAAAAAATTCGCCGCTGTTCTTTTTAGAATTTCTGAGATCTTTAAATCCATTAAACTACTATTTTCTTCGAATTCAAAAACTTCTGGATACAAACCATGAATAAGTGAGCAAAAAAACTGTGTTTTTCATTTTTTTAAGACAAAATGAAGATATAGCTTGTAATGCAAGCTCGAAATTCTGCTGCACAAAATCATCCAACCAACAATAAAGATGCTCTTTACCCTGAAAAACTTATTTAAATTGGCAAAGACCAATACATTTAAAGAGGCGTAATTTAGAAATGGAAAATTATCAAAGAACACTTAAGCATAACGTAACAATTTTAATCTACATCTTCATGCTAAATATTTTGAGCATTTTTATATTTTATTTTACTGGTGAGATAGACAAATGACAATGTAAAAATTGTCGATTTACACAATACGTACTTCTGTAAAAGACCAAAGAGTCTTTGTCCACGAATCCAGGGATATTTCACTAGTCAAATACAATAAAGACACTGAAAAAAAACTACTATATTTGAGTCTCTATAATTTTATTTTGCATCAGTAAAAAGTGTACTTCTTGTTCAGAAATGGAATCCGGCAGCTGACTAATTTCTTTCTTCAGCTGCTTTATCAGATTGCCCAGCATCAGTGGAAATGAATGCTTCCCATTCTCCGTCATACAGCTGTAAAAATCGAAAACATCAACACAAAATAAAAGTTTTACAATAACAGTAAAAAAGACTTCCAGTACTTTAAAAACAGTCATTTACTTTAACTGCTGCCGAGTAGACTGCTCGAGATCACGCGACATAACTTGATTTGGTGGAACAACGTAATCCGATAGGAACTGAAAAAAATTACAAAATTGTAATTCTTTTGATTTCCTTTGTTAACAAAAATAAAATAAATTTCGGACAAAAAATTTTTGACAAGATATTGTCTAGAAACCGTATATCAAGATTAGAACAACTGTAGATTCATTACAATCATCTGCATTTGCACAAGCTTTATTTTGCTCAATTATTGTAAAAAAAAAAAAAAAAAAAATTGGGCTAGTAAATCTCGAAGTGGAAATTACTTGTTTAAAACTCTGCACAAATGCTACGCAAACAGCATCAACACCAACAATATGCTTTGTTTCACATCTAGAATATAATAATGCATCGGTAAGGCTTTTACTGCCTAATAAATCAACCACATTAATTCTCGAAATGCAAGTTCAAGTACATCAGACGTCTCGACGCTCAATACACGGCACTTAATATTCAAATAATTCTAACAGAAGCTTGCATCAAACACTAAACTAGCTAACAATATGCTACTTAATGCTTATTTTTCTAGTTTTATGTAGGAAAGAATTTTTCCTGTACATAATTTTCTAAGATTAAAAAAAGAACCTGCTTGAAAATACCAAAAATGAAGGATGTATATTTGGTGTTAACATTTCGCAGAATGATGATTGTTTAGATGAGCCCTCTTTCCACTCATTATCCATTGTTGTTAGATCTAAATAAAATTGCCACACATCCACATAAACTAATAAATAAACCTTCCACTGAAGTTATCACTGCCAAGATTAAGTCCATCATTCAGAGCCTTCTTCTTTCAATGATATCACCATACATTATAACCGTACACGAAGCTGGCACTATATGATTTCCAGTTACAAGTTCAAGGCCTTAACTTACAAAAATCTCGTTAATTCCAGATCTGCTATATGGTATAGTTCACTAATATGTTTAAAGCACAAAAAACCAATCTTGCAACTCGACATAATAAATGATATACCTATACCAAAATGAACAGCTTTAAAAGGCTGTGAAGATCGGAAACCACTCGGAACTCCAGGATCTTTCATAAACTTAAATGGACTGACATGTTGTTGCCCAGTAGCATCTGATGAGCATTCTTTTTTCCGATTCACTGTGTTTTCTAATGTTTTTTCTCCATTTGCAAATGCACTGCTTTGTTTAAGTAATTTCTTTGCCTTTGCTGCAAAAATTAAAACATGAAGTCGTCTAAAGTTACTCTCTGTATATGGACTGTAAGTAGGGATGAGATATGTGTTTACGAAAACTATAACAGTCAAGAATGTCAATGAGCATATCACTTCATATTAATCAGAATTATGAATAAACTGAAAGAACACTAACTTTTTCTTGCCTTCGCTTCAGCAGCTTTAGTCTTGCGTTCCATTTTAATTTCTTCTCTGGATCTATTGCTTTGTTCATTTATAATCTGCTTTAATCCTTCTGGCATTCTGTTAAACCGCGATGAAGACTGACTGCTCATTTTGTCATCAATTTGTAAGTTTTCAATTTCCGCTACCAATTTCTCTTTCGCATCCTTTACCTAAGAGATGAAAAAAGAATAGTTGGTCGACCGCAAAAAATATATCTTCTAAGAATGTATTGAGGAGTTGATTGGTAGTACCCTGCGAAGATATTTGAAGCTAAGTGCACACTTACGTGATCCATATTGCTGACTGATAACAAAGACAGACATATCCTGAGGCAGTCTACGGCGACATCGAATAGGCGCACCACTTCGGTAGCCACCGTATCTGCTCTTATCCCCTTAGAATTGCTAACCTAAAGCAAAACTGTGTCTCTCCTGCTAGGTTTAACTGGTGTGCTAATATGTTGTACTTAATGAACCAAAAAAGCTTTCTCCTCCTTCTCGACTGCTCAAGGTGGACTCACCTGACCGCAGAGGGCGTCTTTCTTCTTTATGCCGCCCACGTTCATTGTTGCATATATAACCAATAACCACCCATAACCCACACTCACCAAATTAGACCTTCCCACCCCAAAACCACGGTGTCTGGTCGCTTCGCTACACCCTGGGCCCGCCCACTTGCATGGAACAATTGTGATGTGAAGGAGCAGTAGAACCGAGCTAGCTAG